CATTAGATTCATCCGCGCTGGAGCCGTGCCAGAGTACAACCCACGGAAGGAAGATAATTCTGCACACTGCTGAAATTCCAGGTTTTCAAAAAGAGGCAAAAACTTATGGACCGCAGCTTTAACTAACAAAACAAACGACAAAAAAACATTTAAAAAAATATTATATATATATTTATATGTATATATATTTAACTAAAATAGTTAACTAATGTTAACAAATGGAACCTTATTATAAATTGTGCATTGTAAAAGTGTAAAATATGCAGCTTGTATAAAAAAACAGGCACCAGGAAATTGCTGCTTTGTGTTTTAATTAGCAAACTTTGAGGAATCTAATTAGTTGCATTCCAATTCTAATCAATTTGCTAATCCAGTTTCTTCTGGCGGTGGAGCCGGATATGGTGACGTTCCTGTGCCAGAGAGCTGGATTACGGCTGAGCCAAAGGCCCAGAGCGCAGTCACACAGCAGGAGGACACACTGTCACAACAGGCAAAACCTCACCAGCAGACTGCCACAAAGAACTCAACAAACAAAACCTCAGGCCATGTCTGAGAGAGATAGATTACTTTTATTTCAGCATAGCTATGCTCAATCCAGAATCACTAAACAAGGTGGAATTCATCAGAAAGTACTTACTGGCTACTTCCAGTGAGGTGTTTCGGCTAACGGCTTCTCCTAGGTAATTGCGGGCAATGCATGTGTAAACCCCCTCGTCAGGTTTGCTGCGGCGTCCGTGAACGATGCGCAGGAAAAAAAGGGAGCCGCTGGGCAGCAGCATGCGGTGGGAGCGAGGGTCATCCTTATCAGTTTCAACATGCTCGCCATCTTTATACCACTCCACCGTAGGCGTGGGCCGACCCTCTGCCTTGCAGTTCAGGGTGGCTGGCTCACCCTTTGACACAATCAGATCAGAGGGATCCTCCACTATCCTGGGGGGAACATCATCCAAACGTGGACGGGACCCTGTGAAGAATCAACAGTAAAGGTTAAAAGCAACTGGTTAAAAGCATCTGGCAGATGTAATGTATACATATCAGTGCCAGAAATGTACTTTTCCAATAAGCAGTAATATTTGTCTCCTGGAATTGTAAGGGCCATTTTTAGAATTACTGTACCTTATCAAATGTATATATGTTGCCTTCCATGCCAAATACTTAAATTAATTAAATCAATCAATCAATCAGAATGCTATAAGCTGTTACCAATAAAATTTGGTCAAAAGCAAGTAATCTTTACAATGCAAAAGTGGCACTGAAACTGAAGCTACTTTTCTTTTATTCATCACCGGTGACTAATCTAAACACTGCTGGCCATTACATTCATGCACCCAATAGATACGTGTGCGTGATTGGTGTAACGAATCAGCTCATGTGAAATATGAATAATTAACCATA